GGCAGCAGAGCACTTCTTAGCGTCTTTGCTGTGTGTGGACATGTTGCTTTCATGAAGGAACCAGTTTCCTTCTTCAGATCCCAGTTTATACAAGGCCCTGCCTTCCCTCTGGTTCTTTCAAACTGCACTCAAGTTGAAACTTGTTTTGAGGATTTTTTGTTGTTGTTTATTTTAAGTATATGAATGCTTTGTTTTCATCCATACCAGAAGATGGCATCAGATCCCGTTACAGATAGTTGTTAGCCACTATGTGGTTGCTGGGATTTGAACTCAGGACCTCTGGAAGAACAGCCAGTGCTCTTAACTGCTGAGCCATCTCTCCAGCCCATTAAAAGTGGTATTTGGTTTTTTTTTCCTGATTTTTTTTTGGGGGGTGGTGGTTCAATACAAGGTTTCTTTGTGTAGTGTTGGCTTTCCTAGAACATGCTCTGTAGACCAAGCAGGTCTCGAACCCACAGAGATCTGCCTGCCTCTGCCTCTGAGGGCTGGGATTAAGGGAATGCACCACCACACCTGACTCATTTTTGAGGATCTTACTTAAGTTTTGTTCCTAACGGTTTTTCAAAAGAGTTGTTTTGTTTTTTGTGTGACCCAGTCCTGCAGTGAGACATGACATCATGTAGCATAGCTGTTATGGGAAAGGCACAGGTGGTTTCATGACTCACTCACTCCCACTCCCTATTCCATTCCCCAGAGGTTCCTACTTTTTTTTTTCTGTGATTTTTAGGGTTCAAATTCCAGGTCTTGTGCATGCTAGGCAAGTATTCTATCTCTTAGCAATACCTTCCAGCACCAGAAGCACCCACTTTTAACTGGATTGGCCATATAATTTTGAATATCTGGGAGGGCGGTAGTTTTGTTTTTTGAGACAAGGTCTCTCTACATAGCCCTGGTTGTCCTGTAATTCACTATGTAAACCAAGCTGGCCTCAAACTTGTGGTGGTATTGTGTTCCCCAAAATATTGTGCACCCTAATAAACTTATCTGGGGTCAGAGAACAGAACAGCCACTAGATACAGAGGCTAGAAAATGATGGCACTCACGCCTTTAATCCTAGCATTCCAGAGGCAGAATTCCCTCTGGATGTCTGTGAGTTCAAGGCCACATTGGAAACAGCCAGGCATGGTGACACATGCCTTTAATCCCAAGAAGTGAGCCTTTAATCCTAGGAAGTGAGGGCAGAAAGGTATATAAGGCGTGAAAACCAGGAACTAGGCTGGTTAAGCTTTTAGGCTTCGAGCAGCATTTCAGCTGAATGCCATTCGGATAAGGACACAGAGGCTTCCAGTCTGAGGAAACAGGATCAGCTGAGAAGTTGGCCAGGTGAGGTGGCTGTGACTTGTTCTGTTTCTCTGATCTTCCAGCATTCACCCCAATACCTGGCTCTGGGTTTGTTTGTATTAAGACCTTTTAAGATTCATGCTACACAAACTCGCAGCCTAGTTCTGCTTTCCGAGTGCTGGGATTAAAGACATATGCCACCATGCCTGGGAAATAGCTGTGTTTTATCCTAGCTCATTTAAAGTAAATGTTGAGCAGTGTAACTCTTCTCCTTGCAGCTCAGCAGAGCAGAAGTGGCTGGAATTTTGTTCTGTGCTCATTTACTGTGTTGGGTGCAATGTTCTCAGGCAGCTGTCGCTGAGTACCTGTGGCAAGTGCTTTGGGATGTACGGGGCAGAGTGGGGGCTGTGGCCTCTCATGGGATGAGTATCAACACAGGTTGTATGAGACGGGTGCATCTGAGCAGAGGTGAAGGGGCGATCTCATTGGTAGACAGGAGACAAGGAAAAGGTGCCAGGCAGAACTAGCCAAGGGTGGGAAACCAGTTCAGCTGGAAAGTGCAGGAGAAAAGAGTAAGATTCTGGGGCCTGTGGGGGGCCCTGCTGACGAAGCTGCCACAGAAGGGGTGGGGAGGGATGCCACTCAGACATTGTGTGCTATGTTGGTAACTTTGGATCTTTTCTGGGAGTGATGGGAACCATGGACGCCTTTAATAGTAATGCAATGTGGGTGCTTTGTATTTCATAGAGTTTAGTCTTGTGGCGCACAGAGTAGATCGCATGCCTTGAGACAGTTAAAAAAAGACTATAACAGTCAGGTGAGGGATGACAAGGACCTGCCTTAGGGCAGAGACAAGCCAGGGGTCATTGTCGGTTGAAAATAGAAAGGAAGTAGACTTGGAGGGAAGGGAGTAGTCCACAGCAGTTCCCCATGTCTGGTCTGAGTGGTTGGATGGATGGTGAAGCTTGTGCCTGAGCCAGGAAGTCAGGTGAAAGAGGGAAGACTTTAAAGTCCCTTTCGATTGGCTGTCTGACTTGGCTTTGGAGACACGACACTGGAGAACCCAGGACACTTAGCATCAGAGGACACTCCTAACTCGGCCCTCTTCCACAGCATCTACTCTCGTCCCAGTTACTTTTCTGCTACTGGAGGTAATGATGGTGTCTTCACCTTCAGGGCCTGTGCTCATCAAAAGGGAGAGCACTGTGACACCCAACACAGGTCATGGCCAGAGCAGGGCACTTAAGTGGTTTCTACCAATCTCAGACTTGCTGTTCCTTGTGTAAAGTCAGCAATTTGGGGTAATAGTGTCCTGTGGGAAATAACTATTTAAAAACAGTTATATCTAGAATAATTCACACTTTAAGCCTCCGTTTAGAATTTTATTTATTTTAAGCACCTTTACCTTTCCCAGTTACTGTGTTATTTCACTACTTATCTTTGAATTTCTCCCTTGTTTAGAAAGCCTGTACCTTCATCAAGTCTAACCTGGACCCCAGCAACGTGGACTCCCTATTCTATGCTGCCCAGTCCAGCCAGGTCCTCTCAAGCTGTGAGGTGAGCCCAGGTTCCTATACTGCCTTCCACTTACTTGTTTGTTTGTTTGTTTGTTTGTTTATTTATTTATTTATAAGCAGTAAGGCACATTTTTACAGAGAGTATAATGTCAGATTGTTAATATAATTTTTAAGAATAAGGAATTGTTGGTGTAGGTTGGAATTCATCCATGTAATTTTTACTCCTATAAGAAAATATATTTCCCTTTAAGGGTTCACTGTAATGGCTTTTAGATTAGTTTTTCCTTTTTTTTTTTTTTTTGAGACAGGGTTTCTTTGTGTAGTTTTGGTGCCTGTCCTGGATCTCGCCCTTTAGACCAGGCTGGCCTCGAACTCACAGAGATCTGCCTGGCTCTGCCTCCTGAGTGCTGGGATTAAAGGCATGCGCCACCACAGATTAGTTTTTCTTACACTTCTTATGTCTTCTGGGAGGCCTTGAGATTTTCTTTCCTTTCTCCTTTAACATTTAAAAGCATTCAGTGCACCCTCACCTCAGATTTCTAGATCTTTCTGTTGAACAAGCAACTTGTTGGTATCTTTTGGGAGGTTGTCTTAGTTAGAGTTGCTATTGCTGTGATAAAACACCATGACCAAAAGGAGCTTGGAGGGGAGGGTGTTTTTCTTAGACTTCCACATCACAGTTCATCATCAAAGGAAGCTGGGGCAGGAACTGAAGAAGAGGCAGTGGAGGAGTGTTGCCTACTGCCTTGCTCCTCATGGCCTGCTCAGCCTGCTCTCTTATAAACCTCAGGACCACCTGCCCAGAGGGGACACCACCTACAATAGTCTGGGCCCTCCCACCTCAATATTTAATCAAGAAAATGCCCTATAGACTTGCCCACAGGCCAGTTCTATTGAGGCATTTTCTCAATTGAGGTTCAGTCTGCCCAAGTAACTCTAGCTTGTGTTTAGTTGACAAGAAACCAATCAACAGAGGTGGGGTTGACTTTATGAGCGTTTGGTTTGGGGGTGCTGGGTGGTCATGCTTTGACAGACGCACACATACTCTTGTCAGTATGCCTTCACCTGTTGTAACTGTGTCTGCCATTTCTTTCCTAGATATCTGTTTCAAATGAGACCAAAGAGCTGCTTCTGGCAGCAGTCAGTGAAGACTCCTCTGTTGCCCAGATCTACCATGCGGTCGCAGCACTCAGTGGCTTTGGCCTTCCCTTAGCATCCCAAGAAGCCCTTGGTGCCCTTACCGCTCGGCTGAGCAAGGAGGAGACTGTGCTAGCGTAAGTTGTCAGTTTGATCACTTCCTGAGCATCATTTGGGTTGGTTACTAACCTGAAAGGGTTCATTCACTGCTGCGGCACACATTTCTGGACATCTGCTGTGGGCCCGGTGCTCTGTTAGATGTGGCAGACACTGTTCTGGTGTGTGTGTGTGTGTGTGTGTGTGTGTGTGGTGTATGTGTGTGTTTGCAACTGGAGGCCAGGCCAGGTGTCTTCCTCAGTCACTTTTCACCTTTTTTGTTTTTTCATTTGAGGCAGGATCTCACTGTTCAGCCCCGGTTGTTGGAACTCCCTATGCAGACTAAGCTGTCCTTGAACTCACAGAGATCCACCTGCCTCTGCTTCCCAAGTGCTGGAATTGAAGGAGTACGTCGTCACTCCTGGCATTCTACTTTGGTTTTTGAGACAGGTTGGCTAGTGAGCTCCAGGGTCCTCCTGCTAGTACGGGGGTTGCGGACACACTGCTGTGTCCCACTTTTCCTTGGGTTAGGAGTCTGAACTCAGGTCCTCATGCCTGCGTCTCCCTCTCCCCAGTGACTGGCACTTGGGTTAGGCAGAAAGGTCTGGTCCTTGGCCCTGTGGAACTCACACAGACATTATCTTCCAGCTGTTTGGGCAGAAGGCAAGGGCTGAGGTGGTGAAAGTCTACCATCGTACAGAGACAGGTTGGAGACTGAGCAAGGGTAGATTCCCAAAGGACAAGGAGGCCAGTGAGCTACATGCAGTTTTTGGTGAGGCTTGGCCAGGGCTGTTGATCCGTTAGTACTAGGGGTTCTGTAAAGAACAGGAGTGTACTGGATCCCTTGGAGTTGTGAGAAACAGCGTCTATTGGGCACATGGATTCTCAGGGGATAACACAGTCTAGAAATCAGACTCTGGTCCTCTGCAAAAGGCATAGGTGAAGAAAAAGCACTTTATAGGAATGATTTTACC